CTTAACCTTAGCCTTAATGTTTTGAACAAAAAGATTACCATTGTCAATGGAAACACCGGCATCTTCATAAGTGATAGCTGGGCCTTGGGCAGTAGCGGCAGCATCACGGAAAGCACGGTAAGCAATATCGGTACGGTTGTACTTTCCTTGGAAGGAAACTTGATCAACACCAGCGTAAGCCTTTTTAACAGCCTCTTCCAAAGTATCGGCGACGGCAGTGGAGGCAATAACACGACCACCAGCAGTAACCAACTTATTGTCCTTGATGCCAGTACCGGCATGGAAAATATAGGTGCCCTCGGCAACTTCACCAATGGTAATTTCGTCGCCCTTATTATAAGCACTAGGGTAGCCACCAGCTGACATAACAACAGTAGCAGAAAAACCCTTATTGATTTGAAGAGTAACACTATCAAGACGATGCTCAGCACAGGCTAAGAAAACTTCGGCCAAATCAGTGTCATTAGAAAGTAGAGGAAGAACGGTTTGAGTTTCGGGATCGCCGAAACGAACATTATATTCTAAGACCTTGGGGCCAGTCTTAGTAAGCATAATACCGGTGAAAAGCATACCAACCATGGGGTAACCATCCTTACGCATACCATCAATAGTAGGTTTGAGAACAGTTTCTCTGATTTGGTTAAGAATAGCTTCGGTAGCAATAGGAGTAGGGGAATAAGCACCCATACCACCAGTGTTAAGGCCGGTATCTTGATCACCAATTCTCTTGTGATCTTGAGCAGGAGGCATATCGATAACAGTATAACCATCAGAGAAAGCTAAGATTGAAAGTTCATCACCTTCGAGGAATTCTTCAATAACTACTTCATCACCAGCTTCACCAAAGGCCTTGTCTAGCATGACTTCCTTAAGAGCAGCATAAGCTTCCTCCTTACTAGTAGGAAGTAACACACCCTTACCGGCAGCTAAGCCAGAGGCCTTAATTACAACATTGTGATCAACGGAAGCAACATATTGCTTAGCTTTTTCGAAATCAGTGAAGTTTTCAAAAGCGGCAGTGGGGATATTGTGCTTAGCCATGAAATCCTTAGAGAAGGTCTTGGAACCTTCCATTCTAGCGGCCTTTTCAGAAGGACCGAAGACAGCGATACCAACCTTACGGAAGTGGCCTTCAATACCTTCAACAAGAGGGATTTCAGGACCAGGAACAACGAGGTTGACATTGTTTTCAACAGCGAACTTGACAAGAGCAGGAAAATCACAGACGCCGATTTTGACGTTGGAAACCTTATTTAAACCATTAGCGGTACCACCGTTACCTTAAAAGTTTTGTTAGCAAATTTATTCGAAGAAAAGAAAACGATTCAAAGTCAGATATATACTTACCAGGAGCAACAAAGATCTTCTCGACCCTGGGGGATTGGCTGAGCTTCCAGGCAAGAGCATGTTCTCTGCCACCGTCACCGACCAAAAGAACTCTGATATCGGACATTTTAACGAATATGTGCTTGAAAGGGGATAAATAGAAATAAAACGATTATATCTAGATATAGGTATTATATTCCGATTGAGGCTTCTACACGATCTGACCGAAAAGTAAAGAAGTTGGAAGTGGAAACGAATTAAAGGTATATATAAAAATACAGGACCTATAAGACGAAAGTCGTTGAAGGCAAAAAAGCGCGAGGATAATCAACACCTAGTAGGGTTGAAGAACTTGTATAGTTGAGAGAGAAAAGTAGGAAAAAGAAGGAAAGAAAAATTTAAGAAAAGAAGAAAAAAAATCAATGTGTGCATTGATTCAGTCATCCCAACGCCGGGTGAGGGAAAAGAAGGTTTAGGCGTTTTGTAGCGTTTGGGAACAACAAACAACACCCAGCTAATTCTACGCTGTAGGTGGTATATTCTTAGTGTCTAAAGATACTAGAGAAGGGCCCGCGCTTAATAATATTATTCCTGTTATTGTTCATGTTACTATTATATTTATGATCGTCTACCATTCGGTTTAAAAAACATGTCTCAACCTTCGCACTCACAATGCTAAGTAAACCAAGGTTTTTTAGTTGCGTAAACGCCGGAATTATTCGGACAGAGCTCAATAAGAAGCTCAAGAAACATAAAATAGAAATGCCAAAAACCAAATCTCATCACATTGCGCGCATTTCTAATTTCGGCCAGATTGAGGGCAAAGTTTGGTAGATTATAAGAGATAGAGAGCAAACTAAGGCAAGAAGTTCCCCCCCCCCCAAGAGAAGGTGAATTTGTGACTATTAAACGGGACTGCACATGTTTAAGTATATGTATAATCTAAGTAGTATAAAATTTTGGGGGTGGTAGATGTCACTTATCACATGGATCAAGGGTGGGTTCAAACTGAAACGTCCATTATAACTGGTCAAACCTCATAGCCAGCGAAATAATACATGTAATACGATAAGAGTTGATCTTTAGCCATTCTATTGTCTGAAAGTTGTTCGTTACACTTCGGACGAGATTATACTAGTAAAAGGTCCTTCAATCAACATCTTGGTCTCTATATAGGTACATATAGTGCAGTCGGGTAAGGACTTGGGCTAGATGTGCTACATCCAAGTATAAACGCGGTTTTTTTCTGCTCGGTCGTCGTTTACGATTGGCATTAAATGAATTCTCTCACCATGATTTTCCAGGTTAAATTCCTTCGGCTAGCAAGTTCTCTAACAAATACGATATACCTGTTATTATGTATAGGGTGCTATTACACACAATGTTTTTTTGACTGTATCAAGTCATGATTTGGTTTTTTTCTTTCTAAATTGGTTTGGATTTGAACTATAGTAAACATAAGTACTTTATAATAAATATTTAGGTTAATTTAACACCTCTTTTTTGACTTGTGGGTGATTTAAGCGTCTTCCACGACGGTAAGCGCTCCGCTCTTTTGGGCCGAGTATACCAAAGCGTAAACAATAGCGAAGTGATGATACGCTCTTTCGACACTACATTTTAATAAACTCTTGTCCTTCTTGGCCACAGCATCGGCAAAGTTGGCGAATTCACTATCTACACCACCATATTTTTCAACTGGCAAGCTGACTTCAAATGGTTCGTTGGACTCACTAGCAAATTCACCTTCTTGTAGAATGATCTTACCGCCACCTTGCTTAGGGGAATAATCGTAAATTATAGAACCCTTAGTACCAAAAATTTGGAGCTTGTTAGTTTTTTCACAAGCACCAAGAGCGCTTGTGTATGTGTAAGTACCAAACGAACCAGATTTCATCTTGAATGTAGAGGCCACAGTATCCACATCGCCACTCAATTCACGAACTTGACTCGTGTGAGCCGAAACAAATTCGACTTCACCTAATAATTCAGTCAGAACGGCTAATTGGTGGACACCGCCATCGAGTAAGAAGCCACCTACATGTGTAGGGTTCTTTCTCCAGTCAGTGGCTAAGTATTTGTTAGAGTTGTTAAAAGGGCCAGTGGCTTGGTGAATGAAGGTAACAACTTTGCCAATCTTAGGTAAAAGTTCCTGGACCTTGGCAACACCGATATGATAGACAAAGTTTTCTAGTACAAGAATAGGGAGGTCAGTGGCTCGAGCAATGTGCACAATTTCCTTGGCATCACTCATGTTACCGGAAATAGGCTTCTCGACACAGATAGGCTTACCAGCGGCGACAGCCGATTTGATGGTGTTAAGATTGTTTTGGCAGGGTAATAAGGCATCCACAACGTCTATTTCTTTGTTGTTTAAGATTTCATCAAGGGAATCAAAAACGTTGCTTTCATCGAAGCCAGCACTGCGAGCAAACTCAACAGCCTTAGCCTTGGTTCTCGAGTAAGCAGCTGTGATTTTTAAAGGGCTACCTTCAATGGATTGAATAGCAGGAAGGTGTTTTTCCTTCGCAAAGATCTAAATGAATCAAAATCAAGAGGCAACAAAAAATAAATGAATGTTAGATAAGTCGTCTAGTTAAGATTACAGTGGACATTGGGGCGTGGTTCCCCTAAATAATACATACACCTGTACCAACAAGACCCACACGGATTGACGACATTATGGTTGAATTGGAATACTGTTTTTTCTGTTCTTGATATTCAAATCAAGCTTAAAGGCAAACTTTTATTATGTTTGATAGACAAAAATAATTTATAGCAATTTATAATGGCCTCGCTGCTTGCTTTTATACTTTTACCTCCGCTTAACAGTGCGGAAGAACAAACCGTCACATCATTCTCATGCAGCCAAAAGTTGGAAGGTGGATGCGATCCGGCAACGATCATTTGGCCCCGTTACTGCATGATTTGCATATCCACTGGGGTCTTTTTCCGATACTATCGGAAAATATTATTAGTTACCATGGCAATCTTCGTACAACCTGGGGAGTCTTATCCCCGGATGATTATCATAATATATTCTGGCTTCTGATATATAGGTACGGAAAAATGTAAATGAAAAGTTGGAACTCTAACAGAATATCCTTCTGTTTTTTTAATTTTCTTTTATTTCATATGCTTTATTCTTGTATTAATACCTTTTGCTTTTTTTTGATATTTGGGTGAAAACTATGAACGATAAATAATAAAAACTTTTCATTTCGAACCGTAATTCGGTGAAGTTTTTTTTTAAAAACGTGTCCCATCGTACAAAAAAAATAGTTTTTATAATACCCTAAAGAACTTTAAAATCACAAAAAGCACTGAATAATATTAAAAACAAAAATCGTATTAATTAGAAAAATAAAGTTTATCTAATTAAGTCGAGTCTGTACAGTTTAAGTTTTGAAAGTCCTCTAGAATTGTGTCAAGTCCACTAATACACTTCATGAAAACAGCCTGTTTTCTACAAAACTAATCAGAAAAGCCATAGAACAGTCTCACAGTTAAATTTTTCCATAAAATTCAAGAAAATAATTTAAAAGTTTCATAAGATTTAAAAAAATAAAAAAGGGCATCTAGTTGCCCAATAGTATAACAAAATAGGCTGAGAATCCAACAAATCTTAAATGCACTCATTCATGAAAAATAAAATTCTTAGCTTAATCAAAAGTGGTATTTTGGCCGAGTTGGTCTAAGGCGCCAGGTTAAGGTCCTGGTCTCTTCGGAGGCCTGGGTTCGAATCCCAGAGATATCAATACTTTTTTAGTTTGTTTTTTGAAAGATGATTTTCGGCTATTTCCTTTTCTCTACCAATATGGTTACTTGAATCTCTACCTATATTTTTTTAATGCCCAAAAATTTACGAAAGTGTACAAAAAGCCAGAACTTTGTAAGAGGTAAAATATCATTAGCTCCTAAATCGCCGAAATGCATGAAAGAGCGATATCGCTTTTTTTTATATATAACCAACCACGTCCAGGTATAGAGGGATTCTTTTAGAGTCTAGAAGAGGAATATTCTAGCCCTCGATACGATATCAAAAGTGATAACCTAATATAGTAACAATCTAAAAGGAATTTATATTCAAATGGCGTATAGTGAAATTAGGGAGAAATACCATAAAGCTGAGATGAGAATAGGCCCTGACCCTAGATCATAAAAATAAATCTTAGGGTCTTCTTGTAGATGCTGAAATTATTACTCCAACAAAAAGTTTTTGCTTTTATTCCACTTTGGTTTATCAAAATAAGGAGAATACGAGAAGTTACCCAATAATCTAATAATACTTACCTTAGAAGGCAGAAACAAATTCGGTTCTATTACATATTTCATACATATTAAGTGCGACCGTAAGAATAAGAAAATGAGTATGCTTAACTTATCAAGTGAAAAAGCTTTTATAGACGATAATATGTAAATCTAAGACGGTACAAAAAGGCAAATAAAGAATAAATAAAGAAATAAAGAAACGCTGATTTATTCTTTTAAGGATGCTAATGCAAGGGCAACACCCGTGTATAAAAAATAACGTATGCGTTCTTACCAACTAACCCACTATCCGGGTTGACGTTCCTGGAAACTTTTGCATCGTCAAAATAACACCAACCTTTCGTGCCTTTTTTAACATAAGATGTATAATGACCTCCACATAGAGTTCCTTGGTGATTGGTTACAGCATAGAGATTGTACTTAAATGGCCCCATCTGGTCATACATTCTAAAGGGTTCCATGCTTTCTATATCATCACCGACTAGCGGAGGCCAAAAAGGTGTAAGATCTAGATTGTAAAGCGGATAGTGCACGAAGGTTTCAAGTTTTTTATTCATTCCGTGAAACCGCTTGAGATGAATAATCAAAATAAACGGTAAGCGGGCTAGGCTGAGAACCTTCGATGACCGTCTAGGCTGCTTACAATGTGGGCAAAACCAAGCGTTATCCCCTTCGAGAATTTCTTCAGCTGTTAATAGCCTAAAACAATCTATAAGCGAAACTTGTTTACCATGAGCGGGAATAGGTAAAGTAACAGAGGAAAAAGGACTGTAAGTTGTAGATGTGAACCCACAAGTTAAGCATCGTAATTTGCTAACGTATTGTCCTTGAAACGTATCAACAATTAAAGAATAATCAGTTTTCAAGTATTTCCCCCATTCAATGGTAGAGACTTGTCTGATACCCATGGTCTCTCTTTTTCGTTCCTCCTTGGGGGTTAATTCTTTCAATCGTGGGGCGTCACCTGCTGAATTGAGTTCTTCATGTAACCCATCAAGTATAAACGTTAAAAACTCCTGAGCATCTTGCTGCGCATTACCACGAAAGGCTTCCCGAAAAGATCCACAAAGAGACTTGATTGCGGTTGGCTCAACATATGAATACTTCCCAGAAGCCATCATTTGAACCAAACTGGCAAATGATCGTGCTAAGGCCCCCTTATACCCCAGTCGACTATTAAGATTAATAAAATTTGAATAAGTACCCTCGATAAACGGTCTAGCTAGTTCGGGAGTCCCCGCCAGACATTGAAGAATACAATTCATATAACAAGTGTTACCCAAATTTGCCAAACCAGTGACGAATTCCACAGCGGGTTTAGGTTTCATAGGCATTACACTCCCGGCAGATGTTTTAGATTGCATGTTAGTAGGCGGAAGGTTAGATGTCGACCCGCCGGATGAAGTATATATTAACGGTGGGTAATTAATATGCGTACTGAACTGATCCTTGGATCCCTGAAAAGAATTTTGCATTTTTGAAACCGCACTATTCTTCATCAATAAATTATCATAAGATGTATTTGGAATTCTATGCAATGCTACCTTGTTGCTATATATGTTGTTTGATTGGGGCATTTGAGGCGGATAGTGTTGTTGCTGAAGCTGAAGATACGGCTGCTCTGACAGTTGCGGGTGATGATGTTGATATTGTAATGGTTGAGATTGGTAATATTGAGATTGATACTGCTCATTCCGTGGGAAATGAGGTTGGGGTTGTATAGATTGCTGTGGTTGTTGTGGGTAATGATGCTGTTGTAGTTCCTGTGTTAGAGGAGGCATTTTAAAAGAATGTGGTTTAGTTGATGTTGGGGAAATTTTAAAGTAGTCAGTTAAATCTTTGACATAAGGGGAAGTTGGTGAAATAGATTCCGCAGTATTATGACGATGTACAGAAGCCACACTTCCTTTCTTGGTCCCATAAGGCCGCGAGGGGATTTCTTGCGGTAAAGTAGGGTTTGACGGGTATGTGTAGGTAATAGTATTTGGGTCCGAGTATTGCGACACTATAGAAACAGTCCTATAACTTCCAAAGCGAGCCACCCAAGCCTTCATACCTCCTATCAAAACACAAGGGGGGCGTTTTAAGATTTTTTCATACTCGTCGAGATATATCATATCGTACAACTGTTTTATCTTTACATTTCCATTGTTTTTCAAGTCGACAGAACTTTCATCAACAATAACTACCAAATCAAAAAGATGCCGTTGCGTAAATAGTGTATACTCATGTTCGGGAGACACTATCAGAGCATCCTCCAAGTCTTTTGAGGTCGATCCATGTATAGATAAAGGGTCAATACCCACAATATTCATAGTGGCTATGTGTGATAATTCAAAATCTTTACGAAATCTCAGATCTAGAATTAAGAGTTTTTCTGGGATTTTTTCGATACAGCGATTGAGATGGTCCGGAGAAATAGTAGTCGAAGCTGCAGGAGGAGTTCCATTATAAATATGAGTAGGAGCTTTATTCGAAGTATTACCCAAATTGTAAATGAAACTATGATGCTGGTCATGATCAAAATCAGATTTATTCAGAACGGATTCTGTTGAATCTTTATTAGGCGATTGACTACGCTCGGATGCACCTAAAAGTCTTGGACCAGCTGGCTTTCGACCGGTCGGGGCTTTCAGTCCTTCAAATTTTGCAGCCAATATATCTCTCTCATTATCATCAACTGGATATGGGGGAAATGTATGTTTATGGTGATATGAGAGGTCGGCGGGGGGCACGTATGTGGAGTTGATGTGCAAACCAGATAGATCAATATTGTCAACCAGAGAAGGGTTTGGAGTATACTCAAAGTTTGAGTTATTTAAAGATTGGTTTGCCTCGTTAGGCAAAAGTTTACTACTTAAAGCACCACCACCATTGACTATAGTAGTAGCTGAGAGACTAGAGTCATTTGGAATGGATGGGACTTGTTTCCGAGCCACCTTATGACCATTCCTGTGTGAAGCGTTTGATTTAGTATTGCGAAGCTTTTCGCTTCCTTGGCTTTTTTGATCGTGACTACGATTTTGACTATTATCAATAACACTGTCATCAAATGATTGCTGGTCTTTTTTTGACTTTGCTCTTATCAGTTGCTCTAATTCGATAACGAGATACTCGCTTTTTTGAACATATGCTCTCATTTCAAGATATCTCTCATAAAATTGCGAACTGGCTTTGGTTTGGTATTTTTTGTACTCAGGCACTCGAGGTATTGAATAATACAATAGAATCTGGGCCTGTAGCATCTCTAAGTAGGCCTTCTCGGGCTGCTGATCAGATATGGCAGCTTTGAACTATTTGAAAGAACGTTATGAAATGAGACCCGTTAGGTTAGACACTTATATGATAAAGAAATATGAGTAAGTACTTACGTTTTCAATATGGTTCAAGGCGCATCCTATTAGATCGATGAAAGCGTTCTTTCGGCCCTCAGCTTTCTCAACGTCATGCTGAGCCTTTGCCTTCAATTTTTCCAAGCTGCAAGTAGTGATGGCAGAACCATCAACTAACCGTCCAGGATTTTTCATGATTTGGTAATCGCAAATGGGCTGAATGTATATATATTGTCGTGAGATTCTAAGGAGTGTTCTGAGTGCGGCCTAAGTGCCTGATAACACCCAAGTTGCTCGGCGGGAATGTAGGTGTTCGATAAGAAGGTACGGTGTATTATATAAGCCATAACTGCAAGATACAATAGATGGTTAATTTCTTACGAGTCTAAACAAAAAAATCGAATGCGCTTAAAAGGCCTCAAAGACCAATACAGGGGAGAAAATAGTGCTTGGATATCTCGTTTTTTCAGCATCTCATTCAACTTACTAGAGCACGACGAGGTTCTATTTGTCCAGGCTTGTGTATTATACAATTATTTATCGTGAATGGGGCCATAACCTACCAGACATAAGTTGGGAGATAGGGTTATGGGCGTGGGACTAATATTTGCACTGTATTGCGGTGGGTGACAGTTGGTGTTGAATGAAAAAGAATTATAAGCTTGATCCCACGGAGAATTATAATTAACAGCTTAAATTATTTTCAAGCTTATCTTGACAGAAGACCACCCATTAAAATTTTTTTTTTTGAAAAAGTTTCTGATCTTTTTTTTCCGAATAAATCTTGGTAATCTGCCAAACTTGAAAATTATACTTCAGGTTAGATCCCTCCAAAAGAAAAAAGAAAAAAATGAGGTATGTAAATCTCTACGTGCAGGGAAATTCTATTGAACCAGATGAATGGTAAAATCTAAAATAGGGAACCTCGGGAAGCAGCGTACATATATACACGTAGCCTTTCTCATTAGAAAACCACAAAGATTAGCCTAAAATCCGAAAATCATTGAAATTTTATCGGCTGATGGTATAAGCTGGAATACTAAGAAATCCCGGCCGTGCCGTAGCGATGAATTCTGGTTTTGCTCATAGAAACAGTCTACGGACAAAGAAAAGAGGCAACGTCGACATCGCTTGAACCACCCCATATGCAGAT